TAGCACTCTGCCTCCCCGCCACTCCCCAAAGTCCTTCCATCACAGACAGCAGGGCGGGAGTCGCCTCCCAGGCGGGCATCTGGGCTCCCCTGCCAGTCAGCCCGATGACTGTGACAGGGACAGCTCAGGGACGGTGAGAGAGGCAGCCACGCTGCCAGGACGTCTCTGGGACCGGCAGCCACAGCCGTGCTCACACCTGAGCAGACGCCGAGTTCTCGGTGCACCCCACACGGCCCAGGCCCGGATGCCGGGTGATGCTGACACCCGCCGGGGGTGGGAGATGCAGCTCTCGGCCCCTGTCACAGGGGGCCCTGGCTCTTGCCCCCTGAGCACGAGTGGGGACAAGCATGGGATCATGAAGGCACCTCACTGAAGTGCCATGGGGTCCCTGTGATCTGCTAGGCCACCTGGTACACCTGCCTGCTCTGTGCACCTGGCATGCATGTGTTCCTGAGTTTGGCGTTTCTAGGCATGTTGAGCATGAAGTGGGGAGTGGCTGAGGGAGCGGGGGTGTTTCAGACCCGCCCTCTTTCTCTCACTGGCTGAGTGGTGTCGGGTAAACGACGTAAGGTCTCTGAACTTGCCATCCCATCCCTCCGTGAAAACCTGAGGCAGATCTCTCTGGCCCTTCTCCAGTTCTGCAGTGCTCCGGCCTCACGTGGGAAGCAATGGGGGGAGGTGAGGTTAAGCTGCTTGTGTTTAAATAACACTGGGTGATATGTCAACACACATATATAACGTGTATTCTAATATATAACGCACTGACACATTCTATATTTTATATGACTCGGGAAGGGCTGTCCAGCACGCGCTGTCCAGCAGACGGTGAGGTCTGCATCAGGAAAGTTTGTTTTGCCACTTGCAAGATGCTGCAAAGATGGGTCACGTTCAGTGTCGTTGCTGGAGAGGCCTAATGTCGCTAATGAGCCTCGAAGCTCGAGGACAGACGGTTCCATGAGGAAGACTCGGCTGTGCCCACCGCACGCACGGTCCTTTTCCAGGGTGGTAAAGCAGTAGCACCGTAAGGAAAGAAAAGTCCAGATTTTTATAGATGTGCATCCTTAGTGTCAGGTTGATTGGCAACCATCTTTTGAAATCCATACATCCTTTTGAGGAATGTGACAGACAGACAGACAGGTGTGCGTATATGCACATACCCATATACAGGTAGTTTTTTGGGGTGTTATTTTGCATAATTTTCCTCAATGTCTCCTTGTGACAGTGCTTCGTGTATTCGCCTTCCTAATTTTCCTGCTGAGAATTTACCCAGAAAACTAGTAAACCCGTGCCAGGAACATGGACTAATGTGGTGACTGACAGAAAATTAATCTCACCAGCCTCAGTTTCCCCAGAAAAGGTGGAAGTGTAGCCTCATCCATTTTCTTCACTGGAAGAGCGCACACCTTACTCCACAGACCACGGGCGGTTCCCCGGAAAAGGCCGCTTGGTTTTCAACGAGACACACGTGCCTGTGTGGTCCTGTTCTCGTGTCGGGAGACAGCAAGCCGCTCTCGTCCATCACAGGTGTCAGCACCGTGCGGGGTGGCAGGGATGGCCGTCCCCGAAAACCACGGGGTATGTCTTTGGAATGAAAAAGGAAAAGTTAGTGGATGGGATGGATTTTTTTTCCTGTTGGTTTTTTATAGCTGCATATATAATAAAATTCTAATCAGGTACTTTTTGCAAAAATCTAAAAATAGTAACAGAAACAGAAACATAATTTAGTGACCCTTTCAACTGCGCCTGGGACTCACTGAGATTCAGCGTGAGATCTGGAGGAGGCCAGACCGCCGTGTAACACATTCACGGCAGACCTCACACACACGCTCGGGAAGCCAGGCGGTGCCCCTGCTGCTGTGCGGGCTGCCTCGAGACCCCACCGGGCGTTGGGCCCAGGCCAGGGTTCCCTGCTGCCCTCGGCAGCCCTGCAGTGAGAAAGAAGCAGCACGCGTTTGATAGCAAACACTTTCCGTTCCCGTGTTTCAAAGTCAAGGGGCAGACCGACATTGTCCTGGCGCCCAGACCCAGGAACCTGGAGACATACAGCAGTCAGCTGCCCCAGCCTGCAAGTCCTCATGGGGAGCATCTCCATCTCACACAAAACACTGCTCTCTGGCACGTTGAAAACCAGTGGCTTCAGAAAAGAAGAGTTAGGGGTCCTTTGATCTCGGCTGTAGATAACCACACCTTCCCTGGGATGACGCCCTTCCATTCTCCCCGAGCCAGAGCCTCAGAGTCCCCGGTCTCAGGCACCTCTGCGAGGAAGGCTCTGACTCTCGGAACCCTAGGTGGGCAGGTGGAGAATGAATGAACACGCGCCACGTTTCTCCTGCATTTGCCTCCACCCACGACTCTCGGGGCTTAGGAAGCAGCTTAGGGCGAGGAAGCATTTGCTCTGAGGGCTGCGCCCACACCCTTCCGCTAATGGAGGACAGTCGCCAGTTCATCTCCGTAAACGGCCGCGATTTGGGCAGGCGTCAGCTGGTGCAGAAATTGCTCACCAGTCAGAACTTTTTTTTAAGTGGAGGGCAATGAGAGGGGATTAGTAACAAAAGTAATAGCCTCACTCTAGGCCTGGCCACAGGAGCAGCTTCCCTGGAATGAGGTATTTGTGTCCGGTGGCTCCGTGGCACATGGTCCCCAAGTTCGGTGGCTGGGGTAGACACAGTGGAGGTTGGCCTTTCTTCAAAATGCCAAATGTCTCCTATTCGGAATGGTCCTGCGCACAGCTGGGTCCCCTCCTGACCTCGGCACGGCCTGACGTTGGCAGAGTGTTCTTTGACGGCACCACTGTGAACACCACTGGGTGCCCAAGGCTTGTGACCTTTTGAATCAGGCACAAAACCTGCCAGACTTCTTTCTGAGGCAGAATTCTCCAGAATCCCCTCACCTGTGTTCTCCCCTGGACTCCGAATACCAGGCCTGAGGGCATGGCAGGCAGTTAAAAGGGCAGGATTATTCTGCTCTGACTGGCTTTTGAGTTGGAATTGTTGGTTTTCCTACAAGAAACCTGTAGATTTTTTCCAGTCTGACCATGAGGAAGCCGAGAATGTGTTGCAAAGATAAGGGCAGGGAGGAATCAAGGAACGGTCCCTCCGGAGACACTGAATCACTCCATGAGTGGCTGAAATGGAACACTCTAGAAAAAGACATTTCTGTACTTCTGAGGGAAAATGATGACAGGGGTCATTCCAGGAGCTGGCCCCACGACCTTGTGCCCACAAGGCCAGAGCTTAAAATGCTCAGCGGTGAGGGGCCGCCGATGCGCGCTACCGGGTGACTCGGGCGGTCCGTGCAGGGCCGGGCGTTGCAGGGGCCGGGCCGAACCGGAGTCCGGATTTGCCATGCTGACGCGTGACAAGAGGCCACACGGCTTCTGTGCTGCACAAATGTTATGCTGAAATATCTCTTCTCATTTTGGAGCCAAGCAGGCCGAGTTCGTGATAAAGTCGCTGTCCTACAGTGGCCCCCTTTCTGCTCTGGAATCAGGCACGGCGTTAGCCCTGCTGCGGGGGCCTGGCAGCGGGACCCTGGTGCCAGCTCTGAAGTGTAATTCTGTGATTGTAGCGACTGGCAGTGGGAATGTGCCCTTCTCCCACCTCCTCTCTTGGCCGGGCTGTGGGGCTCGGAATCCAGGGACCCTCTTTCTAACGGAGGGTCCGGTGTGTGAATGAGAACTTTTTTTAAAAGAGTATTTATTTATTTATTTTTAGAGAGAGGGGAAGGGAGGGAGAAAGAGAGAGAGAAACATCAATGTGTGGTTGCCTCTCACGTGGCCCCCACTGGGGAGCTGGCCTGCAACCCAGGCATGTGCCCGGACTGGGAATCGAACTGGTGATCCTTTGGTTCACAGCCCATGCTCAATCCACTGAGCTACATCAGCCAGGGACTGTGAACGAGAACCTGATAGTGGCCACAAGCAAGCTGCTTATTCAGCCTTGTTTTGAGGCCACCTGACAACAGGGCGGGCTGGGGGGTGGTTGCGAAATCCCCCAGTGGCTCCATCTGAGCCCCAGGGCTGGAGGAGGATGCCCCGGAGGCCCCGGGCTGTGTCAGTGCCCCAGAGCACCAGGGCCGCTGGGCAGGCCCAAACTTCGGTGTAAATGTATTTCAGGGAGGGGTCTGGGGAGGAAACCGGAGGTCTGGCCCTCCTGGCCTGTCCTGGGTGAGTGGCCTCTGTTCCCTGCATCCTGGTGACAGTGATTTGGACAAGGAGCAGACACAGAGGGGCCCCGTCCCACCTTGGATCCCTGGGGGAAGCTCATCTGGGCTCCTGCTGGGAATGGCCAGGCCGGCCGCACCTTCCTTCCGGTTCCCTCTGCGGAGCGGCGCCTCCTGTACAGGGCCTCGGGGAGGACGGGCCCCAGGGAAGGATGAGTTCTCAGGAAAAGCTTGTGAGGAAAGGGAGAGCCGGCCGGCAGAGGGGCTGCTGCCCCGCATGGAACAGGAAGCCCGGCCTCCCTGCTCCCTGTCAGAGGGCGTGTGCCCACGGATTGCAGGGCCCCCTGGGCTGCCCTGAAACCTGCCCCCGGGGTGGTGTGCGGTGCACAGCTACTGACCTCAGGCCCCTGGGAGGGCACCTCTCGGGAGGGCACCTCTCCGGACGCCACCTGTTAGGCCACAGCTTGCGGCTGAGAGCCCACAGCAAACGCACCTCCTCCCTCCTGCCACCACCTCCGTCAGCTGCCCTGAATGCCCCTGCCTTCTGCCCTGTGCAGAGGGGTGCAGAGGGTTGGGGTGGGTGTGAAGCCCAGGCTGGGGAAGCGCCCCGAGGCCTATGTGACAAAAGGGTCCCCAGTCTGCTGTGGGGACAACGTCCCTGAGTCCCAAGAGGAGCCAGCCCAGTGTGCCAGTCCCCAGCGTGTCCCTATTGGGGCGAGGGGAGAGGGAGGGGAAGGACGAGAGCACCCCAAATTTTAGAAAATCCACAATACATTTTCTGATCTCTTCCCTCCCTCCTTCCCTGCCTCCCCCTCCCCCCCACCCCCTCCCCACACTAGGACACCGTCAGAAACTAGACGATCAGACCAAGCCCGGGAGCTTGTCCTTTTCCGAGCGGCTCAGTGAACTGGAGCAGCTGCGGCGTTCGGCCATGAGGGTCAGCCCTCACCACCCAGCCCCCACACCCAACCCTCGGGCCTCCTTGAACCACTCCACTGCCTTTAACCCTCAGCCTCAGAGTCAGATGCAGGGTAAGTACCCGGGCGAGCCCGCCGCCCGCCTCGCCCTCGGGCAGAGCCCACCCGGACCGGTCCTGGCTTCTCCTCTGGGCTCAGAGGGCAGTCGGCACACCAGCAGCCTTCGGGCTGGTTCCGCACACAGGTTCGGGCGGCCCAGGCCTGCCGGGTTCCCTCTGTGTAGTAGCGACCCCCAGATCGAGGGGCACCGCAGCACAGGATGGAGAGACTGTGGTGAGAGAGGGGCATGTAGACGGCAGCTTGACTAGCTGTGCTAACCTCCTGGGCTGGAAGACAGACACACACGGCCCCCAGGCCAGGTGCAGGTCAGGCGTTTCAAGCTGTTACTGCCTTCCACTTCTCTGGGGGTTTGTATCTGATATACATCCTTTTGAAAATCTAAAGAAGCAGGAGGGCTGTCTGGATGACGTCACAGCGGAGGTGTGATGTGCAATAAATAAACTTGCAATCCAGCAGGAGTGCAGGTCCCCCAGGGCTAGCTGCCTATTGCAAAAACACTGTGAAATGTAATAATTGCATAAAACCCACCGTGCCAAATGCAATAATGCACAGAGCTCACGGACACTGAGAACCACTGACGTCAAGGAGTGTTTACACTGTGATTCCATTTCACGTTTCCGAAATGCAGCTGCCTTCTCCGGCAGGCCACAGCTCGCACCAAACGGTCACAGTCAGAGCCCTCCCCCCAAACCGAAGAAGCTTGTTGCACTCAAAGGAAAAGATAAGCAACAAGGAGAGAGCAGGCAGCCAGGGAGGGGCGGACAGACCGATTGCTTATCCCCTGGGGCAGCAGAATTAGCTTCCCCAGGCGGTTTCTCTCTGTCCACTGCATTGTGGGATGCATTGAGTTCTTTAGGGCTTTCAGGATGAGAGAACTCCCTTTGGGAGTCGGCCCATGGGGCTGTCAGAAGGCATGCACAGCGGCTTGCACCCGGCCTGGCGGCCCAAGCCGTGAGCTCTCAGTTATGTTTCCAGGGAAGGTTCTTTGATTTGAGGGAGGTTTCCCGGAAGGTACTGTGTCCACACAGCTGGGAAGTGGCCTGTCTGGGGAGCAGCCCTTTATGTTCAGGCAGAAACCGGAAGCTGGACTTGGGATGGGGGACTACCTCCCCTCTCCAGTCTCAGGTGTATTTACGAAGAGGTCCCCTGAGACCATTGGTTTCCTGGCGCTTAATAATCATGAATACTGATTCGAAATATGCATATTGATTTTTTTTGCATTGCCAAAATGCGAGTGTGTAACAGGGTAAATTAGAGCCAGTGGTGCGTTCAGTGGGAGAGAGATGGGCTGATGTGAAATGATGCTTTCTTCTAAACGTAGACTAGAATGAAATTCCCAAGGAGGTCCCTTGACTGGCATTTAGGGCCATTTACATTCGTCCACGTCCTCAGCAGGACTCCACGGCATGAGTCCTGTTTTCTCCTCCCGTGGCATGACTGACCATTTATACCATGGTACACAGATGGGTTTGTCCTTCTCTGCTGATATCACAGCCAAAAACATGGAGCATTCTTAGAGGCAATGGAAAATTAGCTACCTGGGAGCCACTTGAAATTGTCACACTGAAGTCAGCTCAGTTTCACACAGTTCTGGTGAGGAGTGAATCATATCTTATCTTCCTCCTCATCAGATATGCTCTTTGGACCAGAGAGGAAAAGGGGCGGGGTTGGGGGAGGAATTGTTGTCCTCCGCTGCCAGCAGCTCCTGGGCGGAGGCGCTGTGTGGCTGGGCATTCCTCGACTCTCTGGATGCTCTCTGCTCAGCACAGGGTCAGATTTAACAGGCAGCATCGCCCTTTCTTGCTCCTTTTATAAACTTCTTGCTTCTGCGGCATTAAGCGCTAACAACTCGCGTTCGAATCCCCGGGGGTTTAGCGGTTGCTCAGCAGGGTGGGTTAAGTTCTGTTCCAAAATAGGGTCAGATGGCCAGCCTTTCACCTGTCAGACAGAAAGAACAAATTCTACAGAATACAGGTCCAAGATCTTTCCCTATAAAACTACTTTTCCTTTTTCTTTCTGGTTTTTTGTGGGGGGTTTTTAGCGGGGCAGGGGAGGGGTATAAGAAAATACTTTTTTGCCCTAGTCATGTTTTGAGTAGACCCTTGGGATTGTTTTCCCCTAGAATTAGAAAGTTAACAGGGATAACAGTAAAGCCTCTCCTGTCCAGAACCCTGGTTTTGTTCTCGACAGGTAGGAAGAAGGTCCTTTCCCCGGCTTGGCCGCTCAGGCTCCTATAACGGGTGTAAGGAGAGGCTTTACCTAAGACACCAGCCTGCGTTCCTGGCTCTCCCTGAATGGCGGCTGCCCCGTGAGAGAGCACCCCCGGCAATGAGTGGTTCTGCAGTGGTGACGCTGGCTGGGGGTGTGTGTGTGTTTTCAGCACATGGGCTGTCACCTGCTGGGGGCTCCCAGAGACCCTGGGTCAATAGAGAGGCCAGGGAACCCTGTCCTGCTGGGACTCCACCCGGAGGGTTCCCCTCATCCCCTTGACTCTGCCAGTCAGAAGTCACGGATCCAGAAAAGGCCGTGACTTACCCGGAATCAGATCTGCCTGAGAACCACTCCAGACACTCCCACTGTCTGAAGCAAGGTCCAGAAGGACACGGGGAGTGGGCTGCTGTGCCTCTAAGCCACTGTCCAGGTGTGGAGGCTGTAACCGTGACAGGGTGGAGGTGACATTCAGCTTCCTCGTCATCCTGGGTCTCAAAATAGAACAGGGAGCCGTTTCGTCATGGGTGCACGCTCACGCAAGTCAGGACCTTATCGTGACCGTCTGCAGCCGAGGCGCAGCATTCTTGTGCAGTCACGGGAAGGAAAAAGGGCCTGTGTCCTTTTAGGAGACGAAATGGGGCAGATGCTCCAAGGATAAGGCGCTGATGTCAGTGCGGCCGCACCTCCTCCCGCACAGAGGTGGCCTCGGGCAGCGGGGCCGGCCTGGGTTACGGGACGTGATGAGCCGCGGCTATGGTTGCACCATCCCCACCTTTCTGGGAAAGGGGCTGGAGGGAGACCTGCTGGGGCAGAGAACCAGGGAAACCCGAGACCGGGAGGCCAGTCCTGTGCTTCCTGTGTGTGCTGCCCTGAACTTCCAAGCGGGAGGTTTAGCTCCTTTGTCTGACCAGTCGTGACACATTCTGGCCTGGGTCCACCATTCCTGGACTTTACGCTGCTCTCACCACAGTTCCACAGTGTGGTTTTCAGACAGAGAAGCCGAACCTGAGGTTAATAGTCGCTCCACGTCTCCACGACGGGAAGTGACAGACTCACACCCAGGCCATCCTGGCCACAAGCCCGTGCTGACGGGCTGGCCGGTCCCGTGGGCCCGAACACCAGGACCAAGGACCCATTAGCCACGGGCTGAGCAGGGCCAAGGAGAATCGCAAGGCCAGTGGGCAGTGGGGGGCGCGCTGGGCTGCTCACGTGCTCATCTCGCAGTCCTGCATCGAATGTCCTGTCATCATCAGAGTTGATGATGGTGACAGGAGCTTCGGGGCTGGACTCTGTGGCAGACACCTTAGTAAATCACCTCCTCTGGGCACGTGGTCCTTTGTTTTCGAAGGTGGGAGTGAAGAAAATTCGAAGGGCACACGAAGGAAGCGTGAACGGGAGGGCAGAGGCCACAGCCACTCTTTGCTTACTGTTTGGGGGGTGACGTGGTCCCCTTCCTGACATCCAAACCTGGGCAACACCTGCTCGGCCTTCAGGAATGTGGGCGCCTCGCGTTGAGAGTTCCGTGTGGCCGGGGGGGCCCCCTACCTTTCCAATTATTTCCTGATACTTAATATTCCAAACGATAGTTGTTTTGGAAGGGAGTGTCCCCAAATGCTAAAGTGACTTTAGAAAGTCCACGTTCTTTGTGAAGCTCTTTGAGATATGGAATCAACTTTGTTTCTCAGCTCCACGGGGTCACTTAGAGCAAATCTCCCTACTCTCCTGGAGGAAGTGGAGATTTTTCAGCCGGGGCTGAAAAACCACAACCAGCAATGCTGAAAGTTCAAAAACAAACTGGGGTGGAGGCTGCTCGGTCGCCTTGGATGTAGAGGCTATGATCAAACACCAGGACTTTTTGTATCTAAATCTGCAAGTGGTCATTCAATGGTTACACAAAGCAAACTCCTCCGGGCGCTAGAAACCAACTTATAAGGCATGGTGTAAACAGGAAACGTAAATGATTTAAAAGTCACTGTTACCTAGGTGTAGCAGAGTTCCAGGGCCTTTCAAGGTCAACATCAGCTTCCTACACTGAAAACAAGCCTGAGTCGGGTGTGTTCTTATGAATAAATAACAGTAACTAAATAAATGTAAGGAGGGAGAGAGGAAGGGAAGGAAAGCAGAAGGGAGGCGGAGTGGGGTGCGGGCCCCCAAGGCTGGGTCCTGCCCTCCTCCTCCCCCCGCAGACTGAGGGGTTGCAGCTGGCAGGACAGAAGCCCTCCCAGGCCGGAACCGAGAGCCCCATGACTGGTTGCTGTGTTCTTGGCCGTTGTGGCACACACTGTACTGTAAGTCTGAGGAGGCTTTGCAAAGCTGGTGTTGATGCAGGGTAGACGTTCAGCAAAGGGGACAGAAGGGTGGGGAGAAAGGCGGGGCTTTGCTTTCTTCCTTACCGACGGCCCTGAGGTGGCTCAGAGTGGTGGCGGCCTCACGCCTTCCCTCCATGCGCTGGTTAGGGACAGGCCTCGTCACCAACACACAATGCACTGAACGGCCTGCTCAGCACTGTGATGCGCTCACAAGCAGCTCACAACTGCGAGCTTAACGAGCCCTCCAGAGCACCGCCGCTCGGGCCAGCTGCCAGCAGCCACCGGCCACGTTTTCCAGAGCCTTTTGTCAATGCCTGCGGGACATCTTTTCTAATTAAGAGAAAGAGGGCTTCGTTCACTTTAGGCTCCATCTTTGTGATAAAACACTCCTTCTGTGGACTCAGTACGTTCCGACCTTCCCCTTGCTGCAATCTGTTGGCCATGGCAGTGGGTACGCACACACTGGTTTTTAAC